ATCAAGTATATTGCAGGTGTATAAAAGTGAATCTAAATTGTTGGAGTATTTGCATACATCAATACAGGAGTCTATCAAATTTATTCGAAATAATCCATGATGTACATTTCACCTATCTGGAACTCATCAGCTGAATGTACTTGCATCTCCAGTGAGCGACAGTGTTCCTTTTAAGACTCGAAACCTGCACTCATCGTGGTTTTTCTTTATACAATTACACTGTATATTGTTTACTATATTATTATTTCCTTTAATTCCTAGAGGAACACAGGGCTTCAGCCGCGTGTCTTTATTGCGTTCGGTTTTCTGCGAACTTTTCACTCCGCTCCAAGTCTGCCCACATGCTTTCATCTCCTCCTCACATTACCTCCTCCAAGTCACCCTTGCACTGACGACCAACTCGCCGCTTCCCTTTCGGGTTCCACTCGAGCGATCGCTTATCTAGTGATGTCACTTGATCGTTTCCTCAGAGTATGGCCAACCTATCTCCATTTCTTCCTTCTTATTTGTTTCATAATCGGTTCCTGGTTGGTTCTCTCCCAGAGGTCCCTGTTGCTGATCTTTTCTGGCCGGCCATCTGATCTTGAGTATTGAGCGAAGACAACTGTTAATGAAGGTCTGTAGTTCGTTTGAGATGCTCTTTACGACGCGCCAAGTCTCTGATCCGTATAGTAGCACTGACTTCACATTGGAGTTGAAAATCCGGATGTTATTTTTGATGCTGAGTGCTGTTGACTTCCACACAGACTTGAGAGTAATGAAAGCTTTTCTTGTTTTTCCGATTCTGGATTTGATATCCTCGTCAGTTCCGTCCTCCTGTAGTTGAGACGATGCTTCCCAGGTAGGTGAAGGAGGTTGTTTCTTTCAGGTTCTTCCCATTTATGCTTATTGTTGTCTGTTGTTGTTGTTGCTGTTGATGTTGGCTAGGAATCTTCATTATCTCTGTTTTATCTATGTTCACGTGAAGTCCTATCTTTGATGCTTGTTCTGCCAACTTGTTGCTTTTCACTTGCATATCTTCCTGTTTGTGGGAAAGCAGACATATATCATCGGCAAAGTCCAGATCCTCCAAGTCTTTTGTGTGAGTCCATTTTATGCCTGTTCCCTCGTTGGTTGCCGTTGTCTGTCGCATTATCCAATCGATTGCAATCAGGAAGATCATTGGTGATAGTAGACAGTCTTGTCGCACTGCCGTCCTCACTTCGAAGGCTTCCGTAAGTTTCCCGTTGTGGATTACTTGGCATGCAGCATTGTCGTATAACTGTTGGATGAGATGTATAATTGTCGATGGCACTCCGTAGTAGCGACGTAGTTGCTAAATCACCTCTTTTATGGTTGTGAGACCTGGCCACTGAGAGTGGAAGACATGAAAAGACTAGCTGTCTTTGATCATAGGTGCCTGCGTTCTATTTCCCGTGTAAAGTGGCATAATAAGGTGAGCAATATGGAGGTTAGGCGTAGAGTTCTAGGTAAACAGGGGAAATCAATCGACGAAGTCGTGAAGCTACAAAGACTGAGATGGTTAGGACATGTGTTACGTATGCCAAGCCATCGCCTCCCTCGACGAGCAATGTTAGCTGACATAGGACTGGTCAGGCTGGAAAAAAGCTAGCGGCGGTCAAACAAAAACTTGGCCTCACCAGTCAATGAAATCCACAACAGTTGGTCTAAGCCAGGTAGGAAGGTGTAGACTTCCAGGCTGGGGTCCTCGGGACGGTAAAAATCTATGGTTGGAAACAATTGGTGACATGGCTCAAAACCGTTCTCAGTGGCGCAGATGCATCCACTCCCTGTGACTTATGATCTTCAATGAAACTGTTTTGTATTTCTTTATTACTCCTTTGTCTCACACCTCTGCTCACTGTTTCTATTATGCTTTCCTTGTACTTTCTTCTCTTGCTTCGCGTGCTACACGGAATGTGGCGACTTGAACTGTCGCACATTTGTGCAAAGTTCTATGTCGAAAACAGACAGACAGACAAATCACCTCTCGATCGACGCTGTCTCCTGAAGACCTTTTCAAAGTCGATGAAGTTGAGATAGAGAGAGAGGTGACTGCCATTCCAAGCTCTGTTCAATGATGATCCGTAGTGTGGCGATTTGATCAATGCATGACTTGTTTCTCCTGAATCCAGCCTGTTCCGGTCGAAGTTTTTCATTCAGGTTGGCGTGTTTGATTCTCTCCAGGATGATGTGGCTTAGTATTTTGCTTGGGATGGACAGGAGCATGATTCCGCGCAAGTTTTTGCATTGACTTAAGTCTGCTTTCTTCGGTAGTTTGAATAAGTATCCTTTCTTCCAATCCTCGGGTACTTTGCTCCCTTTCCACACCTTCTCCAGTAATGGCGTCATCAAGTCCTCTGTTGTCTCTTTGTCCATTTTCAATCTTTCTGCTGGGATTTTATCTGGTCCTGCTGCTTTTACAGCTTTTAGCATCTTGATTGCATGCAGGACTTCTGATTTCGTCGTGGGGTCGATGTTCACTGGTAGTTCTGCTTCCGTTGTTGGTATTGTTGGGCGCGTTGTAGGCGGTGGTCGATTTAGAAGTCTTTTGAATTACACTGTACGAAACCAAATAAAAGGATAGTTAACTATCATAAAAAAATATTTCGCCTTTCCTAATGAATGAAACACAACATGATATTTTTCTAACTGTTGTTTCACCTTTTGGTGGCTAAAGCTTTTTCAAATTAATATTAAACCAGAATTTACAAAATCTCAGCTTATATATATATATATATATTAATTTCATCCTAATTCTTCAGCATGATATAATTTCTACATTGTCAAGTGGATGAATTTGTAAAAATAACAAACCGTGTACAGATTGTTGAATTTCATAGATGTAAGTATTATAAAAAACAACACGTGTTTATATACTGAAAATGCTTATCATATTTCTGTTGATTTTGTCACTTCATAGGTAGGCGTAATGGGGGGGGGAGGGTATGAAGGTTATTAGAACCAAGTCAAATTCTTTCTTAATCCATCTTTCCTGTTTAGATAATTTGAATTCCATTTAATGTGGTAAATTCTTTGTGATTTAAAAAAGAACATTTTCTGAATTATTTCATGATATTATCTGAATCAATTTTGTGGTCTGATTTTATAGCGCGTAGATATACACCTGACGACCTCTCAAGCTTTTCTAGTTCTAGTGGATTTTTAGTTAGTCGAATAAACTCCTTACGGTGGTTATTTATTCTGACATAGTTTTTCCTATCTATCCAATCACATTTCATTTAATAGACGCAAACGGTGAAGCTTTGGGAATTGGCCATTGCTCTAGGAACTTGACTTTCCGTACCCGCGAACATCTCCCACTATGCCTAAGTAAAGGTGTAGTTAAAACCATTAACAGTTCGAAATCGGACCATCTGGTACAAACCAGCCACAAAGTCAGTGTGGAAGAATCCTTCTCTATAATCTACTGGGTGCCTAATAAATTGCCGAAGTCATCGAAGCACCAAATGCTACAAACAGAAGAGGCTATTGCGATTCGCCTCCAACAACCAGTGATCTGTGTGAATAAGAAGCAAGTCCAGTCCCTACTACTGCCTTGGTCTTCAGTAGATACTATAAATTCACGAATTTGTAATATTATCTTTCCTAATTTTTCTGACATTCAGTTTATTGTTATGTTGATGATATTGAGCTGTGATCTATCAATATTAGTGATTCGACGTTATTTAAACAACACTAGTGTTGTTAATAACACTAATTTATTCATTCATTCATTCACTATAATGTATGTATAAATGTAGAGCCTGTTGATGAAGTTATGGAAAAGAGTACTGTCTGTTCAGTATCCATTCTTTTGAAAATTCGGTATTTCACATGAACAAGGTTGATTTTTAGAATGTTTGGTGTTTAAGAGAAAACACTGATGTTGTATTTATTCATCTCTCCTGGTGTGTTCAACCTATACAGAGTAACAACTTGATATGATTATGAACAATAAATTGTGCTCGGAACATCATCAGTAAATATTACTGTATAACACTGTGAGACTGTATCAAAATAAATTTTCTCCACAATGGAATTATACTCTACCACGGTGAAAAAGCTCTATTTATTAAAGTAACGACTGTTGTGATTTACGTTTTCAGCTATGTTTAATGTTGGTGTTGATTTTGTTAATGAAATTCTTGAAAATTCGGGTGGTGTTTAATATTTATTCTTCTTTTTCCTTTTTATATGTTATCATGAAATGTACTCTTCTTAGACAACTGATACCTTTGCGTTGATCGTATTTGATGGTTCGAGGTCCAACTGTATTTTGGAGTGTTTTGTGTTCTTGAATATTAATGTTAAGACGTGGATTGTTCAGTTTCTCCAAGAACATAATAGTTGAGTGAAATTACTACTTTTTTCCTCTATTCTGACTTTGATCACATCGAAGTTTATATTAAGCAATCCTCAATTTTGTACTAGCTTCTATTATGTCAAATAATTCTTGCGTATATACGTATATTTTCAACTTATCTAAATGAAACTTTATTAGCGCTGTTTGTGGTGAACCTCTTTCACTAATTTTGTGTCGGTGGCACAGTGGTTAGTACTATCGCCGACCATGCACATCGTTCGGGGTTCGATACCCTATCGACGCACACCTGATATCTATGGTCGGCCTGCATAATTTGGGCTACCGATATCACATGCTGAAAATTCCATACTTGTACCAAAATACAGTTTTGAATCAAGCTATAACCAAAAAAATTATAAGCATAAGTACTCAGCTCAGCTTTGACCAATAATTGAAGTAAAAGGCAATGTATGAATTCAGTGATTGGATGAAATATGATATTTCGTGTCATCCGAGGCAGTGTGTGCTATAAGCTGTCTAAGTGCAAAGTACTGTTGCCAGACCGGAGGTAGTCTGTATCTGCACTCACCCTTTAAGTTGTCGACAATTTTGTGTACCTAGGTAGTTGTGTGAGCGCTGGCGCAGGTGTGGCTGAAGAGGTCTTTAGCCATATAGTGAAAGCAAGGGTTGCATACATCGATTTGGACCACCTCTGGAGCCGTCGCAAAGTTAGCCTGGCTGTCAAAGGTCGGGTTTATAATGTTTCGGTCCGTGCAGTCTTCATCCATGACTGTGAAACCTGGCCTCTCCTAGTTGCTGATTTGCTGTGACTGCATATTCGCCAATCGTTTTCTCCGTAGAACTGCTTGCGTTCTATGGCATCATCGTGTGCGTAATTTTGAGGTTTGGTAGTGTGTCTTTGTCACGGTAGAGGTCAGCATTGATTGAGTGTTGTCGTCTGGAAACACCGGCTTCGGTGGCTTGGACATGTTACGAATGTCTTCCTGAAGGCCTCCATACTGGTCTGTGTTCACTAGTCCTGGGACTGCATGGAAAAATTGGAGAGGTGGACAGCTAATTATCTGGCATTGTGAGATGGAGGATGTTTGTGTTAGGTTAGCACCAGTTAGTACATCACGACTCCATGGCTGTAGTCTGAAAAATAGTTTGGATCGGTGACTCGAAACGTTAATAGATATGACCAAGAATTGCAGTCCGTGGTGAACATGATGCCTTAGTTCTCTTTTTCTCTCTTCTGAAAGTTCTATGAAGTAATGAATTTTAAATGATACTGACAAATATGTTTGCTTGCTTTCTGGATGACGTCCCTCATCCATCCTTCTCCTACTTTCTTCATATATTGTAATTTTTTTATTGTTATGTGGCTCATTTCCTTGTGCCTATAGTGTAACAATCATATATTTTAAATAAAAATTAATAATGAAGACAGGTTCATGGTTTTGAATATAAGGGATTGTAATATTTGGAATTAATGCTGATGCTTCAGATGTACGTTTTTGATGGGCTTCAGCTTTTTCCCAGTTAATAAATACAAAAATAGCAACACTGATGATTATCTAAATTCATAGACATCTACTTTACATTAAGTTTAACATTTTATCACCGTTTATATTCAGGGTGATGATATAGTATACCCCGAAAATACACCAGCTTGATAGAACACTACTAGGATATTAGTAAAGACCAAAAATTTCTGATGCAATAAGCCACATATGCTACTATGAGACAGAGAAGATGCATTTTGTACATGTTTAACTCTGAAGTCTGCTGCCTAGATATCACTGTTTAACAACATTCACTGCCACAGACTAAGGATACTTTTTCGTTAAATTTAGTGAATTATAGAACTATGCTTTAATATTGAAAGGGTAGAATATGTAAAACGAGGCAATTCAGTATCTGTATATAGCTAGACTATGTATACCTTATCTTCAACGCACCATTTTCACAAATCTTCGTGCTGTGCTACTTCTGGCCTTCATATTGTGTTTCTTTGTGTTCCTTTCACGTCTACCATGTATCTCCACATTGCTGTATCATTTGCCTTCTTTGAAATCAAATGTATCTCCTTGCTACTTGATGTTTTTATGCCGATGAACGTCTCTTTATATACTACTAATAAATTTAATCAGCAGTATTCACCACCACATCACTGTTATATTTGATTTTTAAATCAGCCAGAAAACTATTAGGTAAGTTTAGATGCGTTCTGTTTAAATGATAATGTACATATAAGTGAATAAAGGTAGCACATATAGCTATGTCAAAGTCTCCGGATAAACGTAATTGTATCCTAACTCACCGATGTTCCGATTGATATACGCATTCAATACTCATGACTTCAAATTTCAATATGTTATTCACTAACGTATCAACTGACGTTAGTCACATCTTGTATGTTACTGAATTTTTATAATCCTTTCTTGTTACTGATTTACATAACTGAATACATTTTTATTTCGATAAAGAAAGGAAGACGAAATTTGCAGTATGAAATGATATCATTCTATTTCACAGGTTCTCATCAGCTGCAGACTACCTGAAATTACAATGGTTATATAGATGATAATAACATACTTTAATGTTCGAGTGGTGGTAGAAAAGAGATACTATAAAACTGACGCATCTAAATGAAAGCATTACAATGTTTTTAGTTTAAGTTTTCATCATCAATTTATACGCTTTTAAAGTTGAAAAGAGGGGGAGGGGTAAGACAGAAAACAGAAAAAAACAGAAAACATTGTAATGCTTTCATTTAGATGCGTCAGTTTTATAGTATCTCTTTTCTACCACCACTCGAACATTAAAGTATGTTATTATCATCTATATAACCATTGTAATTTCAGGTAGTCTGCAGCTGATGAGAACCTGTGAAATAGAATGATATCATTTCATACTGCAAATTTCGTCTTCCTTTCTTTATCGAAATATATCAAGGGAACGAAATGTATGATTTTTATTTCTGACTGAAATATATGTACTTTTATTTGGCTTTTGTCTCACAGAGAGAGAGAGAGAATGGCAGCAGAAACATTCACTCAATGAGTTCTACACGACAAGAAAACATCCATTTACGTTAAACTACCAACTTTTATTAAATATACAAACAGTCGCTAATAAGAATACAAGTAACCTAAACCGAACCATGTGTGTAATAGAGTGAAGTTCTATGTCCCACTCAGAACACAAGGAATGGATAGTAGTAAGTAACCTGTGTCAAGACATGATGGAGCATTTGCCAAAATGGTTGAAAACAGCTGAGTGCAAAGTGCCAAAATCCTCAATAAAAAAACACCTTGTGGATTATGGACATGATATCGACGCGGTCAAGTCATTCACCTTTGTCAGAAAACAAAGAAACAGTAAGATGCTTGCAATTGCAGAGGCTTGTGCAATTCGAATTTATAAACCAGGTCTCTGTGTACAAAAGGAGATGGTCGTGACTCTGAATCTACCATGGTAATACGTTTTACTTATTATTCTCTACTTGTTATTACTATTATTCTACCTCTTCTTCTTCTTATTGTTATTATTACTATCGCTATTATTATTCTTGATTCATATAAAATTATCCTTTATCAGTAGGATTGTCTTAACTCACTTAAACACTATTATTATTATAACTATTACTATTGATATTAGTCTGTTTGCAATTCTCGTTAAGTGATGTAATTGAAGCGTAATGCAATTTATCTTAATTTTGTTCTCTCATACTCTCTCTCCCCTTATCTATTTGAACATGACCTGGAAAACATTCACACCTATCTTTCTGCATGACTTAGTCAATGCAGTTTGTTTACTTATCAGTCTTATATCTCCCAATGTAATTTCAAAAGTATGTATATCCGTGTATGTAGAGTATTCAGCTGACGAGTTCTACCGAAATTTGGTGAATTCATTAAATCCTGCTTCATTAACCTTTACTGCTTGTTGTAAATTCGTATCGGGAAATAAATGTTTTCAATTCTTGAAGATGTGTCAAGACAGCTGGAATCACTCGGTTCAATCTTCATGAGACCTGGGAATTTTCAAAAATTTTCATATGCAGTCTCACATTAAGTGTTATAAGATATTTCTTTTTATGAGTAAATATATATGTATTGCACATTACTGCAGTTATACAATAATAAGTGGGGCAAGTAAATTCACTAATTAAGCATCACATGTTTCTAACCTTCGTAAAATTCATACTCACACAGATTCCATTGGGATGGGTGATAGCAAGCAATACATTTAGATCCAAAGCTTTTTTACATTTGCACTTAACAAACAGTACACATGTAGACTCACCATAATAAAAGTAGGTGTGAGAAATGCAAGCTAACTGGATTTCTCTTTTGTAAAGGCTAAATTGTAAATTGGATAGTTCATTGGTAAAATGCTCGACAACCAGCATGGGAGGTGGTCCAGGTTAGCACTTCCTAATCCAGGAAGGAGGAAATGGTATGGCATAAGGCTAGCTACTTCATCTTATGAAAAGAACCCCACACTGTTGAAATTTTAAAGCTTGAAACCGTCTTCATATTCCACTCGAAATGAAACAATGAAAAATACACACAGTGTAGTTTCTCAATTCTATCCTACAGAATCACAAATATATTCAGGAAACAAGAGTTCTTTCGGTGGCTTCTCATCAGGTGTTTACAACCCAAAGATATTCTAAAGTATGTATACAGAAACAATTTCAACATACTTGCACAGAGTTCATGACCAGTAGAGTGCAGCAGGTAGGGTTTGAGGACAAATGCACACGGAAGACATTCGCTAGTTGTCACACTATGTCGTGATTGACAGAAGTCGGAATTCATGGGTCATTGGATCGGGTTCCCATAGCTTAGCGTTCTACGAGCTCTTCTTGTAACGAGAAGGTCATGGATTAGAAACCTGGTGGTGTGTGAATACTGATGAAGAGTCCCAAACCAGGTTGACGAAACAGCTGGCTGTCTAGTACTCTCAGGTTTTCCAATGGTTCTCTAATCGATGTCAGCTCATGATGAAATCCTGTAACCAATCAATCAAATTCCTTCAAGTCAATACTTGAAAAGTCAGTCAATATATGCATTCAGTGCTAATAATAATAATAAACACTTCACACCAAACAATAATGATTATAGAGAATGGAAACTTTCGGCATTACTTAATCATATGAAAAAGAGGATGAAAACACCCAGTTACCGGGACAAGAAAAGATTATTAACAGCAACTGTCAACAGAAGGTTGAAGACGTCACTAACTACAGTCTATCCTGCAGCTAAGCTGGTTCCGGTCTGTCGAACAACTTGCTCTTTGTTGCAATCAAAAGTCGATAGATATCCTTCTCATGTTAACTCTAACTGTATTTACAAATTTACATTCATCTGTGGGATCAGTTATATTGGAAGAAAGGAAAGAAGGGCACATCTCTGAATTTCTGAATATGTTCCCAAAAGTCAGTGTCTAAAGGGAACAAATGCTTTCAACAGTACCGTCACCAGACATCTCTTTGACATGTGTTATGAGAGGTGGACATCGCAAGATCGTTCAAAATTAACAGTAGGCAAAAGAATTTAGTTCTCCTTAAGTTTGCTGAAGTGATCTCCATAAAGCCTCTGAAACCCGATTTATGCGTTCAGGAACAAGTGGGTTATCAGTCTTTCCTTGCCCTGGATATGTTCATCCTCTCTTTCATCTGATTAAGTAATGCCGAAGGTTTCCATAATGCGTGATCATTATTAGCATTGTACGCATATATTGATTGATTTTTGTTTAAAAACGAACTCTATGCAATTGTGTTAAATCTGTTTCTGTAAGTATACTTAATAATATCTTTGGTTTGTAAGCAGGTGATGAGAAGCCGACGAAATAACTGATGTTACCATTTTATTCTACAAAAGCTATTGTTTGTGGTTTGTTCAAATTCATTAACGTGGAATAAATGTATGAAGTATTCAGAAAAGGCGAATCACTTTATGTAGTACATGGAAATGGGAATTATTTTTATAAAATAATATTTCAGTTTCTTTTCTTTGTAAATATATCTCAGAGAAAAAAAAAGAGAAAGAAATATCCAATTTTATTGTACTCTTACACAATTAATAATGTATGCAACTTCTTTAAGATATAACAAGCCTATTAGGTAGTTTACTATTATGTATACTAATGTATACATAATATGAATTCGAAAAAAAAGTGGTTAATCATTAGAAATAACAGTAAATAAATGACTTAGAAAAATTTGTATACACTTCGATCTTTGAACATTTGTTCTCTGTTCTGTTCTGTTGTGTTTTAGATTGATATAAATTAAATGAAAATAAACAAAATATCGACCAAAATGATTGTTAGAGTTTTTACTATAAAGTGTGTTGTTAGCTAAACACACACACTTAAAAGTCAAGGTTGTTTATCATAAATATAAACTTACAACATTGTACATACATATATACCCTTTCATTGAACAATATAGACATTGTAGCCTACAGTCTAGCCAGCATTATTTCCCGGATAAGAT